TTCGATGAAGAGGTTACAGCAGAGTGTGATGATGTGTGTTTCGCAAAATTGAAACTATATTTTATTTCTGATTTCTTATTGCTTATATATATATAATGCAAAAACGCCGTATCATATCTATCGATTATTCCATTAACTTAAATCTTCGATCTTCAATTCGTTCCTATTATTTCACATTTTAGAAAAATGTGAAAAGTGAGAATTTTATTTGACCAAGTGATTATCTTCTTTATTTAGGATATTTGCAAATTTGTATGATTATATATAAATATTTTTCCATATTTCACTGATCTTTTATTTGCCTGAGATTTATCTGACGATTGTGAAAGTTGTCGAAATGTTCAAACAAATTTCTTTCTCTGTTTTTTAAAATCTTATTTGATACTGTTATCAAATAATCACCGAAAATGATTGTTTAGTCGAGACTTACATCATTCACCGCGTTAATCTGATTCCTTTACTACGTAATAAACTATATGTATATATGTATGTTCATGTCAACTTTTTAAATTCTTGGACGTTAATCCAAGCTGGACAGTTACTTTAATTAACTAAATTGTTTCACTCAACCGGTAGGGGATGTTATAAAATAGGGAATTAGGTTGAAAAATAGCGCGAAATAGTAGCAACATCATGTATAATACAAACGAGTACATTAAAAGTAAAAAAACAAATTCAGATGCTAATTACAAAAAGTCACATTTACTGTTTTATCGTGCTTTGTGAGTATTTTATCAATGATATCGTCAATGCATTCGATAGATTGATCGTATAAATGTTATATTAATCAGCAGATGACTAAAACGCAGATGATAAAAACGTTTAATTGTTGCTTTTTCGCTTGCGCGGGTTTCCGCAATGAAAAGTTTCTTTATTGATTGCTTGATAATTAATAGCCATATATATGTACATACATAACGGTAATTTATTTTATAATTTACATTCCTACCGCATGTGAATACATTGTTCGACGAGACTAAGATTGCCATGAAAGGAGAGTAATCTTTAATTATGAAAAAAACATTCTTCGTACCTGGTGAATAGAGGCACGTATTCACTGTATTCATCTCATGTTTTATGATCGCAACATTTGATCGATGTGGCGATGGAATATCAAGTTTGATCGAGTAAGCCCGAATGGTTATACAAGTATAGTGGATAGGCTCGTTAAAAAGTCATTAGGCGTGGTGTGTTATTAATAAAAAAATATGTCTCTGTTTTCGTCAGAAAGTCATCCGGTATAGCTAAATATTTCTAAATCATACGGTGGAATACATAATGAAAGCATGAACATGTCAAGGACAGGAGATTGTGGAAAATAGTTAAAAATAAAAATCGACTTTTCGTTGATAGTGAAGTGAACTTTATTCTTGGAAAGATTGAATCTATTGATGCGAATAATATACGAAAAAAATAGCGAAAATCTAGAAATAATTGTGAAGTCAAATGTAAGATTTTTATTAAATAAAACAGTTTTCGCAGTGTTTCAAGATGTTTATTGGCATTATTATTAAATTGACAGTCAATGTAATTTGTTAATATTATTTCCAAACTTCAGTTTATAATTATTACATCTTATTTTTTAGTTTTTACATATAAATATTCAGCAAAGATTCGCTTTGACCGAAAATAGGATTTTTTTTCTCTTAATTAAATTAATTTGTTCTTATTAATCTAATTTCCACTTATAAATTAAATAAAATAGATTTTTTTAAAATAAAATATAAAAGGAAATGTCGCGCAGGAGAAAAAGAAGTTCTACCGCTTTCTTTCGCGCGGACCAATTCTGACGACATGTCCAAACATATGGCTTCGGTTCGAGCTGCGATACAACGCGGGTACACCTCGCGTATTCTCTGTACACGTACACGCTTAACTTCGCGCGGTAGGGTTACGTAAGATTGAGCCAGCACGTCACGTGCATGCGGTGCGTGTATGCGGAGACAAAAAAAAAATACCGCATGTGCAATCCTAGCGGTCGCGCGTGCGCACCGGTATACGCGCCACAGGACGACGAAGCTGCCTGCCGCTGCGGTTCTATGCATCGCAGCGAGAAGGCAAAAGAAACGATGATTACGAAACGATGAACGTTCTTTTTCTTTTCTTTTTCCTTCGTCTTCACCGTCTAACCCGGCAGTACGGAGTGATGATGCGAAGCATCGGATTAGACTCAGGTACGCTTTTGCGCGCATCGCAGTTGCGAAATATATTTCCAATCGCGCGTCGATAATCGAGCGACGCATCTCGACGAAATCGCTCGAGGTCCTCTTTTGGGAATAACTTTAGGGATCAAGCTAATGGTTCAAGGAAAAAGGAAACAAAAACATATTAATGATATGCGACATGAAACAACATAAAATATGACGGTACTTTGCTTTGTAATTATAATGTAATAATAATTATTAATAATAATTATTAGCATTTATGATAACAATGTTGATTATATTTAATATGATTAATATTGATATTATTATTTTTATAATTTTTTATATGATTAATATTAATAATATGTATTTGAAAATTAAAAGTATTACAATTTATTGCATGTTATTACATCAGGAATAAAATGATTTATGTAAAAAGTGTGTTCAAATCTTCTAATCCTCAAATTCCTTCAAATCTTCTAATAAACTTAAGAAAATAGTTATAAATAATGATATTTTTAAAAAATAATATAACAAGTTAATACTCATAAAAATGTAAATGTGATGTAAATGTCTGTAAACATTTAATGAGTATTCAATATAATAATAAGTATAATGTATATAGCGTTCTGTCGCGATATTTTTTGTCTCTATGAAATTCTTTTATCTTTCTCATTTATCTTAATATCGTCAAAAGTTAACAGAAATTACCTTCACTATTATGACAAAATGAAGGACAACAGCTCAATTATTATTGATAAGATTATTCATATTTGTTGAAATGTCATGTCTGACGCTGTTAGACAAAAGCGTGTATAATAAAATGTATAATAAAATTTGATGACTGACTTTTTGTTCACGTATTCATGAAAATATCTCTAACATAACTGTTATAATTTTTCTTGCAGGTGAAAATCTGGTTCCAAAACAGGAGGAGTAAATACAAGAAGATGATGAAGGCAGCGCAACAAAGTGGGGGTGGCGGTGGTGGTCAGCATGGCAGTCTTCTGGCAGGTGGAACCGCTCTACCCGGAGGACCATCCCCTCAACCCGGTCAACCCGGAAGTCTTATGCAAGGAGGTATATTATTTTACAGTTGCGTAAATAAAATATACACCGATATAAGTTAAACAAAAAGAAATTCATGAAAGAAAAATCTCATCATATATTTAATTAATATTTAAGAAGAGCGCTTTCGATCATTTTACTGTCGATCAATTCAATCGTTCTCACGATATTTTCGCGAACAATTGCACATTTTTAATTGGGTGAATAACGGGCGTTAATTGAATGTCACTGGTGAACGTACGCGATGATTGCGCGCTTGACGGGGCTGCTCCATTATTTTACCGCATCTCCGCCGCAATCTCCACGAACGCCACTTTGCTCCGTAATTACAATACTAATGATCCGACGCAATTTTCGCGGTCTGCGTTTTTTATCACGCCTTTGCCATTGCCCGTATCGCCGACAACGATGATACGCTTGCTTCACCATTGCTCGCTTTCTGCGACTAACGGTAATCTCGAAAATCTGCCTAGTAAGTGATTTATTCGGAAATGTACCACGAAAGACACAGTCAACATAATTAACTTTATCTTGAGAAATTTCTCTTCCTAGGAATGCCACTCTTTCATGATGAAATTTAGTGCGAGCGTCCATGTACTTTCCAATGCACATCATTATGTTTCAAATAATGGTTTCGATATATCATACAAATTTTATCTTTATATTGTGAGCTTTGTTACAGTTTAATTTTTACAATATATTTTTATATTATATTAACATATTGAATTAATTTGTACTCTAATCCTTTTCATGGATTGAATGTTAAAAATTAATAAACATAAATGAATATAAATATGAGTATACTTTATATAATATATATGTTTACTACATCTCGCTAATGAATAACTATAACGTGCTTAAGAATAGTATCAAGGTAACATAAAGTTTCGGAAACGATAAAAATCAGAGCGTTCCCAAACGGCGGAATATCACGAAAACGTGACGTGTATTGTATAATCAGGGATGAACTACATACACCTCCTTTTCTCCGAGCAGACCCTAACTTAGAGACTGCAGAATCGAACGCGCAATCACCGTCTGGAAACTCTTTCCCATCTCGTAGCAGCCACCAGATGCATTATCGCACAATACCGTTCCCTCGCACGATTAATACAATTTGCGACGTTGGTCCCATTCAGGCGTATGCAGCTGTATGTGTAGCAACGCGACGCGGTATAACGACGGCGCGGCGACGACAGTAACGGCCGCGAGATTCGAAGCAATTCTGAAACGGTTCCCGGTTCGCGTTTGTTACAGGGGGCGGAAGTTCTGTGTCGGGCAGCCCGACGACGGGTTACCTCGGCGGCATGGGCGGCGGGGGCGGCGGTCACACCCCCGGGAGCTCGAGCCCCGGAAGCGAGATGTCGCCTCAGCACAACGAGAGCCCACCGGCACCCTCCTGGCCGGGTGAGATGAAGCATCATCCGCATCCACACGCGCCGCCTCATTCCCATCATCATCCGCACACGGCCGGACATCATCCACCGCCACCGCCACCGCCGCCACATCACGCGGGTTACATGCCGCAGTACTCTTGGTATCAGGCAGACCCTAACCCCGGATTACTCACGTAAGTGTTGCTTCTCCGAATCGGAGAATCTTCGTCAATCCAAGCTTGATGCATTGCTTTCGGAAACTAGAGCGAAATTGATGCATCTAAAGTAGTTCTTAACTCTTACAATATCATTATATGTTGAAAACTGATGTTTCCAATATTGTATGTTGAAGAATAGACGTAATTTATATAGACTGCGAATTCCTTGATTTTAGCTTCTGTGCTTCGTTAGAAAGAATTGAGCATATTAGCATCTGTCTTCAACTCAATGTGTGAAAGAGAGAGATATGATTTAAGCTACCTCACTTTTTTTTAACTAATAGTAACAACTTCATAGGAATGCACAATCTATTCTTATTACGTTATGATTAAAAATGTGAATAATCGCAATTGAGTTTGTGATTTGAGATTGAAAATGACATTGAAGTTAAATAGAAAAGTGTTGCTCACAAAGTTCGAAGTGATTGTATGAACTGTGCAATATCTACTTATGCTTCAATTTTTACCTACTACGACGCTATTAAGAAGATAAAATAATTATGAAATGAATCTCGTTCTAAGATATAGAACATCTATCGTGTTTCATGTATCATCGAGAGAACAACGTTCTTTAAGTGTATGCATTTGATAAGCTTTGTAATTGCTATAACTCATCATATCGGCGATTTCTGTGTGAGCATAATTGAATAGTACTTCGATACTCAATCATAGACATTTTCAATTTAAAATTAAAGTGCGACGCGTCAATCAACGCGCTTCAACACAAACTGGTACTGCCAGTCACGTGTCCCCTTGGGACATGTTGCGACGTTTCTCCTATTCACTAAGAACCAGCATGACACGACAAATTTACCTCACTCGCCTTGCCGTAATATTCATTGCGCTGTGATTCCGGAAGCTTCAAAGTTACCGCATATCTCTTTAATAATATATAATGATCGCGAGAACCGACGTGAGATCGAATAGGAAAAATACATTTTGTGCAGCACACATAGATGTAGATATCTATAGATTTATGCTGAAAGATGTAATATACTTGATACTGAACTTAGTTCGAAATTAGTTAATTATTAAAATGTTAGCAGTTCAATTTTTTACTTGTATACACAATATTGATTTGGAAGAAATTTAGACATTCAGGCTTTTGGTTACTCATCACGGATATTCAGATTGATCTTATACAGAATGGAGAAAATAATGAAAATTTTTGAAAGATATATTAAAATAGAAATAAATATTTTTTAATAAAATAATATTTGCGTATACATTTTAATATAGTTTGCAAAAATTTTTCTTTATGTATTTTTCTTTCTTCTGACATCAATCCAAAATGAGGTCCAGGAGCCTTAAAATAGGAGTTCAATTTTGCAAGATGCATATTATATATCACGTTTTCTAATCAAATGATCTGCTTTTTGCAGGGTATGGCCAGCGGTTTAACGAAGATGTCCCTTGAACTGACAATGAGTTTAGGTGTGCCACTTCTTCGTGGCGTTGCGAACGTATCCCAGCGGTCCCGCCCCAAAGTGTGAATATGTGTAGCACCTCTCGCGAGGAAAATTGAATGTTAATATTGTTTCTAATCGTATAATGAAACCCGCATGTCGATCCGTGCGGGCCGTCCGTCGAAGTGAGAGCGATTATGAATAGTGCGACGTCGTGTGTGATACACGTCCCTTAGCAAAATATTAATAATACTAATGAGACGAAAGGAATGCAACCAAGAATGCTAATTGATGATGTTCTCGAAGCTGATGAAGAGGACCGACGCCTGAGTTTCCAGCTAACGTGGATTGTCGACAACGTAACGGGAAATCGGAAGTCATGAACGATCCGTGCATCGAGTGACTCTTGACTGATTAGTGACGTTGTTTTGGTGCGCGCCGTTTTGTGCTGCGAAGATGTTTCCTTCTCGAACCTTCTCTGGAATCATCGTAAGTTGGAGGAAGACAGGAACGACATCGTCGTACGGTGAAGTAAAAAGTAACATTGTAAAAAAGAATGGTAATAATAATGTAACAGCGATTTACGATGTGAAATCGCCGAAAATCTATCCGTGACCGAGTTCTCTGAGAATAACGTTGTTCATTGATGATCTTGAAGTTCGATTTACGAATTGGAGGGTACTTGTAACGCTTCGCGTATGATTGAGTGATTGCCACGACTGTAACGCTTTTCGTGTTTGACAAATAATCGTTGTCGCAAAAATAAGAGAGTCGCGAGGAATCTTTTTTCCTGGAAAATAAAACTTCTCTATATGTCTGTTCGTGTCGACTGTCGTGATTGCGTGCATCGGATCTAATTTGATTACTACGGTTAATTATAATAAGCAGAGAGATTGCCTCCAAGCAATTGTTTTTATTGTGAAAATGTTGTTGTCCGCCGTTTGTCAAGCGTGGAATTGCATACCGAATTTAATCGTTATGGTTAATCAAATAAATGAATTACGCGATACAATTGTTTCCTACGAAAAAGTATTGAATCAACGTTACCATCAATTACTACAATTAGATATTAATTGATTTTATTTCTACATATATATATCAGAAACCTCACATTTACAATGCATCCTATTTTATCTTTTTTTATTTTTTAGTTAAAAAATTTAGTTGTAAAATTTATCTCTTGGTTTTTAACATTGAAATATTTTACAATTTAACTAATTGATAATATTTTTTATTTGTAAAGATTTTAAATATTAAATTTGAGGTTTTTGATTTAGTATTGCCACTATTATTCTTATACATATTTATTCTCAGAATAAAATTGTAAAATTTTGTAAACATTGTTTCTGCTCAGATAATTCTGTTTAATTAAGAACTTACATTGGACGACATTGTTATTGATGAATAAACAAATTAGTATGACAAATAAGAATTATTTTGAGATTTACTTGATTGAAACATAGTATGAATTTGCTTAATTACTTGCATAGTTACATCTTAACGATTACCAAGATTAATGCGACAGTATAATAGTGGCGATGATATCAGGATTTGAAAAATGGAAAAGAACGCGAGTTAGATTAGAGATTTATCCTGACCCACATCCGGTCTTCGTCTGTATTACGTCCAGGATAAATAATAAACTCCGAGACCAGGTCGCGTGATTCTTTTCAGTACAGCTCGATATTTTCGTCACCTTTCAGAATCAGTCCAGTCTGGCACAATCCCGTGCATCTCTAAAAACCAATTTCTATCTCCTCGCAAATGTCAATTGCCGATGACGTTAGGCCGGTCGATCCTTTGTGACAGTTGCTCAACAATCGCGAGCGCAGCTGACCTACTTCGTGCTGAATCTCGCGCGATAGATGAACAAGAAGAACGTTAAGATTAGCGAGGCCTCTCCAGGAAGATAGACGAGGAAGGGAGAGAAGCGGGGGGAAAAGCGAGAGACAACGTTGCATAAACTTGTTGAGCAGTCGTTCCTCAAGGCGGTTGGAAGTAATGAAATCCTAATGACATTTTCGTGAGTCAAACGATCTCGGCAATCACGGTGGCTCACTGTAATCACCGGTCCCTCCTTCCCGGATGAAGCAACTGGCCGGAGGCCTCCTCCGAAGAGGAGAATAATACACAAGCGACGAACGGAGGAACGAATAGTTAGAGGAGCGAGCTGGAAAAAAGTCATTATCTCCGTTGGCGACACGCGGAATGCCGTCGATGTTTAAATACATTAAGAACTTCGGAAAATGGAAGAATTAATTTCAACATTGATTGGTTGCCCTGATTTGTAGTCTCTTTCGTAGTTTCTATAATTTAATATGCAATTCGCTTGATTTTCACTCGATTGCAATATTTTGTGTAATGAATTAAGAATTTTTATCTTAAAAATAGTTAGTTTCAAAAATATTTATTTATTTATAGATTTGTTTACAACAAAATATCATTTTGTTAAGTATATACATTTTGCAAAAAATTTCAAAAAAATTATGAAATTAATAAATCGGAAGGGAAGGGGACTTCAATAAAATTAATGATAAGTCAAGTAGAACGATTTACTGCCTCTGAAAACAGCTCTTGCGATTCGTTCGAATTATCAAGACTTTTTCTAAATAGCATCTCCTGTTTTTTTCCGTCACAAGCATGCTTGAATTCTGTTAGAAGAGTAGAACTCGAGTTTCACGTCATAAGCTGTTTAAGTTGCGGATGGTGGACTGTTTTACGCTGTTTCTTCTTCGCTATCCTCTGTCGGCCATGTTAGGTCACCCTTGCCATCTTGCGTCGCACAATATCTAGCTTTCCAAGAGGCGACGCCAAACCGCAAAAACGATGGCTGCGGCTTGCAACCGCGGGAAAATGGGAGGGTCGGGCGGGCCCCACCGCTGACCCAGATCCACGGTCTCGTCAGTGTAACAATGGTCGTCTCATGAGAACATATGATGCCGCACAGTTCCTGTCCTTCCTGATTCTGTCTTTTCCTTCGCTCTGATTGTTACCGTTCGGCACATGTCGGTCGCGATGTACACCGAGACCGTCAGATCTCAGTTCCGTACATTCCGATCTTCAAGTCTGCGAAATATTGAATTCCTATGTTTTTTAAATTTATGTATGTGTTTTTTAATGCACTAATTAACTTAACATTGGAAACTTAAAATTATTAATTTCTTGACATATTATCATAACATAAGATCTCTCCTATGAATATTTCATATCTCTGACAAGACCACTGATCGACATGCCACCGTTAATCATAATAGTAATTTAACAAAATTTGTACACGGAGAGAATTTTCTTTTAAAATTTATCCTGAAAATATGATAGTTGTGGTACAATACAATATCTTAAAGATTTTTATCACGCACTTTAATAAAATTAATAAAACTTATTTTATATTTTATTGCAGTTTTATTGATGAATGAGAGAGATTTACATTAAAATTCTTCGAAATACAATGTTGTCCCACGACTTGTCATATTTTCAGGATAAATTCTAAGAAAAAATTCTCTCCGCATAATTAACAGAATTTTTACAATCCAAAGTTGCGTTTAATTCTCGATATAACGATAAATCCCAGGATAAGGCAGTATATAAAATTATTATACACTTGTAAGTAAAAATATAACTTGTCTCAATCGTAAATGAGATCTTAAATAATTGTATTCGTAATACTGGAGCCGTACAGTTTCCGAATACGCTTGTTGAAAGTCTGCGATTGAGTACGCGACATCTCACATGGCAATGCACCCATAAATAAATTTCCTCCGATTTCCCCGATTCCCTGGGAATCGACGAGGGCGTCGGCGCCGCGCAAGTCGACGCGGTGCGGAAACTCAAAGCGGATTAGGCTGCCGGGTTCGCCCCATGGTGCACAAAGAGAACAGTACAAAACTAGTTTTATGCCCTTCCGCTCGTGTCGACCGCGCTTGCTGTTGAACGTTGGTACGCGATTACGTCGCGTGTGCTTGCGTAAAAGCCTCGCGGCGGAAAAAGGGAAGGCGGGCTGGAAGGTAGGCTACGGTCCGGGGAGATCGATGTCGCTGTGCCGGAACAGCGCGGAATTCCTACGTCGTCATAACGTTCATGCGAAGGATGAACCGGCGGTGATGACGACGACGACGACGATAACGACGACGACGACGACGACGACGACGACGACGATGGTGACAACGACACGACGATTCTCTCCTGTGTATAATAATAATAGTGCCGTTAGATTTAACCGCAAGCTGCGGAAAACTAGGAAGCACGAGACGGCCTTCTCGGACGGGTTCTTGCGTTTTGATTCGGTGCAATAAGAAGGTATATGCGTATATAATTTAAGACGAAGCTCCCCTCAGTTCCTAAATTGCGTGTAAAGCCGGAAATGCGAAAAACAGCATAAAACAATTGAGCGTGGTCGAAGTGACAAGGCGCGCGTTTAGCTGAAAATTATTGTCGAGATTAGCGCAAAATTTCCTGAAAAATTACAGTTATATTAGAAAAATTAATTTACTTTCCATGTACAAAATTATATTTGTAAATTTACATGAATCTGAAATAAAATTTTAGGAAATTATAAAAAGAAATTAATAATACTTCTCCATGAACGTAATTTATTTGTGAAGTACAATGTTCAGGAAATAATGCGTGAGACATGAATCTCTGTGACGTAAAAAAAAACATCGATCCGATATCTTCTATGAAGTAGCGTGCAAAATCAAGCTCGTGCGGCTCATTTTTGCCACGCTTTTGTCGAATACGCGGATTATGATTGCACCGCGCGCGAACTTAATGTGACAGAAAGTATGAGAGAGAGAAAGAGAGAGAGAGAGAATGGTAAACAGCATAAAGAGTCCATAGAATTTACTAGCGTTACTAGTCTCGGTGCAAGCCATCGGAGATCGATCAGACCTCGGCGAAGCTGAAGCTGGGAGATCGAACACCGAACATTTGTAAATATTGCACCGGGGCCCTCTAGCATGTAAGTCGACGTAAGTGAATCTGTGTAAAATACGATATTGTGATAAGAATGTAAAGAGATGCGGAAAAAAAAACGAGAGAGAGGAAACAAGAGAGGCCTAGAAAATCGTCTATATACATATAGGATATAAACACGGCAGACCCCCAATTTATCGATTTTACCGAGTACCCTTGTACGGATATAGAATATTACGAGAACTAAAACACCTTAATTATGATTACTATTGTATAAAATATGAATAATAACTAATTAATTCAATTTAAAATATCATCTCGTAACATTCCATACATGTGTTGTTTTCCTATTTCCAACGTAATCCCTTCACATTTTATATTAAAAATATATAATTAATATATTTATTATAAGAATGCTTTGCATTATTTTTTTCTTAAAATAAGACAGTTCTATTTAATCGCTAAATGCTAAATTGCTAAAATTCATAAATTTCTAAGAAATACTTTTAAAGTCTAGAAAATATTCCTAACAATTGATTTAACGACAAAAGTTTTTTTATTATATTTTAGTAATCTGGTTTAAAGAAAAAAAACATTAATGATTCCAAATGCGCCTTATATGGTAGCACAGGAAGAACGCATCGGCGATTGACACACGTCGCCATGTTCTGTTCTTCGTGAATTACCACATTTTCGTGTAACGAGTGGACATCGGCTCAATGATTCAATCATTTCTGAGTGAACGAGAGCTCTTTCGTGCTGTCCCGATGGATGACGGCTCATGTTCTTTTTGCTTCTTGTCTCTTTGTTCAACGGCAGCCACCTGCCGCTCTAGAGCCAACGTACGCATGCTCTACTTTATGAATAACTGTACTCCTATCTTCGCTCAAAGTTGAAGACGCACCATATTCTACGTTTTCTCGCGAGCTACTCGACGTTCCGAGCGGGACAAGTAACAGGTATTACATGATTACAAGAATTTAAGAAACAGAGCTTTGAAAATAATTATTTCAACATATATTATAAATCTATTCCTCTTACAATTAGTTCTACTTTCTACATTTTTAATTTTAAAGAAAGAAAATTTGCTTATATAGAATGACATTAGTTACTCTTATTAAATTAACTTGTCCTATGTTGAGCTCTAATGTGTCTCGTTAAGAAATTGAAAAATATTAAATAAAAACGGCTCCATTTCTTCAAGAGT